CAGAGCTATCACTAGTACCTGAATCACATGGTTTAGTTTGCATGCACTACAAGCGTGAAACTCTTGTTTTCGTTGCTGGTGTTGGAGAAGCGCAACCACAATGGTTAAAGGTTTGGAGACCATAGATCTTTCTGAGAAGCAGCTTAAGGAGCTGTGTGTGTTTAGCTTGGAGAAAAGAAAGTTGAGGTGGGACATAAGACCCATGTATAAAAGGAAGTCATATTGAGACGGGGGTCGGCTTGTTTTCTGTTGCTCTAGAGCCAGGCATGTAGCCGGGGGGGGGGGGGGGGGTGGGCTTGAGGGGGCTTCAGCCTCCCCCCCCCGAAATTCTCATGGTGGTTTCCGAAAAGGCCTTACTGGTGCATTATTTAAACTGTTATGTTTATTCATATCATGATCTGATCACCATACTCAATATATCCCATATGCATGGGGGTATTGGGGTAATGATACAAAAGGTTTGCTAGGCTAGACCCTCTTTCACTCAGACTCAGCCCCCCCCCCCAAAACTCAGCCCCCCCTGAAACCCCCCCTGAAAAATTCACCACCCCCCCCCCAAATCGAAATCCTGGCTACGGGCCTGTCTAGAGCAGAGCTTTCAAAACTGTGTTGTGATGCATTGGTGTGTTGTTGTTGTTATTGTTGTTGTTGTTATTATTATTATTATTATTATTATTATTATTTCTACCCCACTTTATCTCTCCTGTAGCAAGTAACCTCTGGGTGTATGAAATATGTAATAAGCCATATATTTTTGAGAAATGATATAAATGAAAGCTTTTCATGAGATACTTTAGGATCCCCAGGTGGTGCAATGGGTTAAACCCTTGTGCTGGCAGGTCAGCAGTTCACATCCGGAGAGTGCTCGTATGAGCTCCCTCTGTCAGTTCAAGCTCCCCATGTGGCACAAGGATGGCAAAACACCAAAACATCTGGGCAATGTCCCCTGGGCAATTGCAGACAACAAATTCTCTCACACTAGAAGTGACTTGCATGGCCATACATATGAGATATGCTGCATGGACATACATTTCAGTATTACAATTTATGTATGTGTCCATATCTCTTATAAGAGTTTGATTTGTACCTCCGGTTTGCAAGTCAAACTGAATCACTGTATCACGAAATGATGCATATCTCAAAAGGTATGTCACCAACATGAAATGTTTGGAAAGTTCTTATCTACAGACTAGGACAGGATTGCCAGAAAAACATTCGGAAGGACTAAGAACTGTTCAGCAGTGGAATATGCTGCCTGGGAGTGTGCTGGAGTCTCCTCTGGATGTTCTTAAGCAGAGACCAAGTGGCCATCTGCTGGGAGTGCTTTGATTGTGTGATTGGATTGGATAACCCTTGGGGCTCTTCCAGCTGTATGATTCCATGACACCTTCCATCCAAGAGCCTGGTGAAGGGACAAAGTGCTCCTGCTTCTGCCACGGCGTCTCCCCGGGCAAGTTGTGTCTCCTCCCATCACCCAGTTGCTCCATTCCTACAGATTGGCATCATCGAGGCTTAGTCACCCAGACATTGCAATCGGGGGGCCCAGACTCTGCAGCACACGCTGTTCCTGTCCTCACACACCTCCGCACTGTTGGAGGCACAAGAATCCCAAGGCCTCTTGGGAGATCGAGAGCAAATCCTCCTCAGGGGGACCGTAGCCGGCCTGGGTGCTTTGAAGATCAAAGGCCTCTCCTCTCTCTCTCATTCGGAGGAGTTAGAAGAAACCTTCCTTGGAGGGTTTTGGATTGCACCTTCCAGCATGCCTGTGCAAGTGTGCTTCTTTGGCCTGCCTGGAATCCCAGCTTTCCAAATGGGAAAGGAGCCAGCTATGTTTCCTCAAGTGGCATCCTCCTAAATCTCAAGGAAGGCAGCCTTCCTTTGCATCCCAAGGTCCATCTCCGAGATGGACACAAAGTGGAGTGCATCTGCCTGTCTTTCCTCCCAAAAGCCCACACATTTTCCTCTTCCATTCCTCTCCCTTTGGCAGCCCCACCACCACCCTTCTCCCAGGACTGAAGTTACTAACATGCAAATAGCCTGCTTTGCATGGGATGCCGGCCAAATTTCCTAGGATGTAAAATGAAAGCACACACAGAAAGAGAGAGAGGCTAAGAAAGAGATACACACACACGAAAGTTTTTTTTAAAAAAACCACCCAGGGGAAAGAAAATTAAATAAATATCCCGCCTTACCCAGGGATGAGATGTTCGAAGGGGGTGCGGCCCAAACAGCAGCAGCAGCAGCCCAGGTAATGTTCTCACCTGCCTCCATGTGGCAACCGGCACAGCCACGCCAAAGCCAGAGGTGCTAGCAGGGAAAACACAGAGAGAGAAAGAGAGATAGGAGAGAAAGAGAAGTGGCAGAAGGAAGATCTTCGTTGACGTAAGGGGCAGAGAGAAGCTGGCAGCCCCACGGGCCCCCACTTTGGACCAGGGCTGGCCAGGTTGTGGCAGATACTTTTCCTCCGGCAGGATGGTGAATTTGGACCCAGTTCACACAGGTAAGGCCACTCTCACTCCTTCTTCTTGCTCACCTGTGGAAACATGCTCTCTGTCTCTCTTCCACTCTTTCCTTTGGGAAATACCCCCTAAAGAACTCCTCTTAGAGCTGTCAGCTGTCCCACTTTGACACATTCCTATATGCTCTCATCTTTCTCCGTTTGGAGGCACATGTGGCTTGGAGGGAAAACAACAAGTGGCAATGCAAAAAAGAAGAATTGGGAGAGGTCTGTGCAAGGAATTCTCATTCCCAATTGGATAAGGCTGAGGAATGTTACAGGACCCCAAAGACTCGATTTACCAAAGCTCCAATTTGCCTGAAACTTTGTGCCGTTTGACTTAAAGGACTTTTCTGCCCCCATCCATTAGTTCTCTTGCATCTCAAAGGCTGGCACACATTCGTAGTGAATGGGCTTTCTGCACATTCTTAAGCAAACTCTCCTCTCCTAAGGCTGAATTCTGAGACTGATATATTATAGCTTTGACTGAAATTAGATAGACATGAGAAGAGGCAGCAGATATTTGGAGACCATGAATCTTACAATCTGCTAGTCAGGTGGCTCAGTGGGTTAAACCCTTGTGCCGGCAGGACTGAAGACCAACAGGTCGCAGGTTTGAATCCGGGGAGAGGTGGATGAGCTCCCTCTGTCAGCTCCAGCTCCCCAAGCGGGGACATGAGAGAAGCCTCCCACAAGGATGATAAAAACATCAAATCATCCAGGCACCCCTGGGCAACGTCCAATTCTCTCACACCAGAAGCGACTTGCAGTTTCTCAAGTCGCTCCTGACACGGAAAAAAAAAGGTGGGAATCTGGGCATTGCAGTCTCCAAACCCAATGTTGCCAAGTTCTGGATTATAGTAAGTTGCACAGAGAGAACATGTTTGTGTATTTCTGTACGGCGGAGGGTTGGACTAGATGTTATTTATGATCCCTCCCAGCTCTATGATTGGTTCCTCTACTACGCTTTTCCACCCCACTCCAAGGAAGCTCCCCAGATCCTGAACCGGTGCCTGACAGCTGTGATGGACTGAATGAGAGCTAACAAAGCAAGACTTGATCCAGACAAGACAGAGGTCCTACTGGTCAGTTACAAGGCCAGTCGAGGTATAGGGTGGCTGGCCAATATAGGGAATGCTTGCCAATGCTGGCCAGGCTTAACCCCCCCCCCCCCCCCAATGTGTGCCATTTGAGATTCTTAAAAACTAAGTGTGTTTCTGAGCCTATGCTGAGTGCTTTACACTTAGTTATCAATCCGGTGGCACAATAGTTTAAACTCTTGTGCTGACAGGACTGCTGACTGACAAGTCAGCGGTTCGAATCTGGGAAGAGCATGTTGAGCTCCCTCTGTCAGCTCCAGCTACCCATGTGGGAACATGAGAGAAGCGTCCCACAAGGATGGGAAAACATCAAACATCCGGGCATCCCTTGGGCATCCCTTGCAGATAGCCAGTTCTCTCACACCAGAAACGACTTGCAGTTTCTCAAGTTGCTTCTAACATTTTAAAAAATCAAGAATTCACAAACAGCTTCGTTATGAAAATATGAATTTAGAGTCAGGGGGAGATATTTTACTCAACATATTGGTTTAAGGATTCCTGGAACTACATTCCAAAAAAGTAACTGGCTTCTTTAGTACCATTTCTATGGCCTCTCGTGCCTATTATTGCTGCATATTGGGTTGTTGTAGGTTTTTTCGGGCTATATGGTCATGGTCTAGAGGCATTCTCTCCTGACGTTTCACCTGCATCTATGGCAAGCATCCTCAGAGGTAGTGAGGTCTGTTGGAACTAGGAAAAGGGTTTATATATCTGTGGAATGACCAGGGTGAGACAAAGGACTCTTGTCTGCTGGAGCTAGGTGTGAATGTTTCAACTGACCACCTTGATTAGCATATAATGGCCTGAATGGTCAGTTGAAACATTCACACCTAGCTCCAGCAGACAAGAGTCCTTTGTCCCACCCTGGTCATTCCACAGATATATAAACCCTTTTTCCTACTTCCAACAGACCTCACTACCTCTGAGAATGCTTGCCATAGATGCAGGCGAAACGTCAGGAGATAATGCCTCTAGACCATAGCCATATAGCCCGAAAAAACCTACAACAACCCAGTGATTCCGGGCCATGAAAGCTTTCGACAATACATTGCTGCATATTGTTTATGTGGTTGATCATTCCCCATTCAAGTAATGTCACCTTCCAAAGACATACAGTGGTCATTTCATTCAGTCACAAAGTGCACGGTCTCAAATTCTGTTTGTGTTTTGCACATGAGTAAGATCCCATACAGAAGCAGTGAGACATTTTTGCCCCATGAGGAACGTCCATATTCATGGATGCAGAAGTGGAGTCACACATGTGGCCCCATTAGCCCAGTGTTGCTCATGGTTGCACATTATGCATACAGTTGTGAATGTGCATTCAATTGCACAACATCACAATTCAGTAACAAGGAAGTACTGCACAGCGTAACTCTGTGAATGTGACACCCTGCTCCATCTATTGTATTGTAGTATTGCAGTCATATGCAAGTGACTTCCTAGTGCAACAGTATTAAAAACTCTCAATTTGTGTTTTATTATTTTTTTATGGTTTCCAAAATAATACTTTAGCTTCCCATTCAAGAGATTGGTTTCTTATAGCAGGTGTACTAAATGAGGAAAGAGTTTAAGAGCCCCCTAAAGGGTATGAAATGTTCTTAATGAATTGCAAATACAGGTGGAATCTCCCTTATCCAAAATACTTGGGACCAGAAATGGCTTGGACTTTGGAATTCTCCAGATTGTGGAAATCCTGGATCTGCCTATATGTACATAATGTGATATCCTGGAGATAAGACTCAAGTATAAACATAAATATCATTGGGTTTCTGTGAGTTTTCTGGGTTGTATGGCCATGTTCCAGAAGCATTCTCTCCTGGTGTTTCGCCCACATCTATGGCAGGCATCCTCTGAGGTTGTGAGGTCTAATATATTGTCAAAGGCTTTCATGGCCAGAATCACTGGGTTGTTGTAGGTTTTTTCAGGCTATATGGCCATGTTCTAGAAGCATTCCCTCCTGATGTTTCGCCTGCATCTATGGCAAACATCCTCAGAGGTAGTGAGGTCTGTTGGAACTAGGAAAAAGGGTTCTAGACCATGGCCATATAGCCCGAAAAAAACTACAACAACCCGTTGTGAGGTCTGTTGGAAACTAGGCAAGTGGGGTATCTATCTATCTATCTATCTATCTATCTATCTATCTATCTATCTATCTATCTATCTATCTATCTATCTGTGGAATAATCTCCAGGGTGGGAGAAAGAACTCTTGTCTGTTAGAGGCAAGTGTGAATGTTGCAATTGGCCACCTTAATTAGCATTGAATGGCCTTGCAGCTTCAAAGCCTGGCTGCTTCCTGCCTGGGGGAATCCTTTGTTGGGAGGTGTTAGCTGGCCCTGATTGTTTCCTAAAGACACAAATCCACTACAAGCAATTGTACATAAATCACAGAGGTAATTTTTTTTGCAACTTATATAATACAACATTGAACATATATACAACTTAGATAATACAGCATTGAGCGATATACAGAGAACATGAGATTGTTATATACACAGTGATTTTTACACCTGTCACAAAAGTTCCAGAAGCATTTTCCCCTGATGTTGCACCCACATCTATGGCAGAGGTTGTGAGGTCTGTTGGAAACTAGGCAAGTGGGGTTTATATATCTGGAATGTCCAGATTGAGAGAAAGAACTCTTGTCTATTTGAGGCAAGTGTAAATGTTGCAATTGGCCAACTTGATTAGCATTGAATGGCCTTGTAGCTTCAAGGCTTGACTGCTAACTGCCTGTGGGAATCCCTTGCTGGAAGGTGTTAGTTGGCCCTGATTGTTTCTTGTCTGGAGATCTCCTGTTTTTGAGTGTTGTTTTTTATTTACTCTCCTGATTCTAGAGTTGTTGTTTTTACTACTGATAGCCAGATTTTGTTCATTTTCATGGTTCCCTCCTTTCTGTTGAAATTGTCCACATGGTTGTGGATTTCAAAGGATTCCCCCAAGAAGGAAGCAGCCAGGCTTTGAAGCTGCAAGTCTATTAAATACTCACCATGCTAGCCAATGGCAACCTTCACACCTGCCTCAAACAGACAAGAGCTTTTGCTTTCACCCTGGACATCATTCCACAGATAGATAAACCCCACTTGCCTAGTTTCCAACAGACCTCTGAGGATGCCTGCCATAGATGTGAGCAAAACGTCAGGAGAGAATGCTTCTGAATCATGGCCATACAGTCCGAAAAACTCACAGCAACCCAGTGATTCTGGCTATGAAAGCCTTCGGCAACACATTAAATAATAATATCATTCCTGTTCAATACACATTGACTGAAGGTAATTTTAGACAGTATCCTTAACAATTTTGCGTATGAGACAATGTTTGTGTACATTCAACCATCAGAAAGCAAAAGTGTCACGCTCTCAGTCACTCATTTGGGAGTCCTTGGGATTTCAGGAATCTGGGGTAGAAATGCTCAACCTGAATGTTTGCTAGAGCATTGGCAACAGTATTGTGATGCGTTGTTGTAGCTTTTTCAGGCTATATGTCCATGTTCTAGAAGCATTCTCTCCTGACGTTTCACCTGCATCTATGGCAAGCATCCTCAGAGGTAGTGAGGAAGACTTTGTGAGGATGCTTGCCATAGATGCAGGCAAAATGTAGGAGAGAATGCTTCTAGAACATGACCATATAGCCCAAAAAACCTACAACAACCCAGTGACTCCAGCCATGAAAGCTTTTGATAATATTGTGATGCACACTGGGAAATGAGAGTGCCTCGCCATTGTCCAAAGGATCACTCAATGAGCACCAATCCTAATGCACATTAGTGGCCCTTGCTGATTTGTTCTGGTGTGTATTGCTCTTGATGCTCAATGGATTTCCTCAATGGTGCCATATGGAAGTCCTATCAATGTGGGAGTTGATTCTTTTTCTAATGGGTGTAGGTCTACCAGTGTAAACA